AAAAAACAGACAAGAGGAAACAAATCGAGTGGTTTTCACTGCTCTGCCAGAGACTTGTGTTCAAGCCTTTAGTGTTCCCCTCTCCAGAAACAGGATGGCAAGGGACTGAATAAAGGATCTGGCAGGCTGTGTCTCTAGTTCACCTCTAAGACCAGCAGTATCAACACCAGGATACTACGTGCTGCCTTGAGTGGCAATTTGTTTTCTCATTTAGAAGTCAAACAGAAGTTCGAACCTACTAAAAGCTTAAATCTGGGTGACTTAACACTGAAGGCAAAGCTTTTTAAAACCTGTGTGTTCCCCTGCAACCAAGTCCTGGACCAGTGCAAAAGAATAAAAAGAGCTAGAAGTCCTGAAGAAACATATGGAAAATCCTCATCAGGGTACTATTAATCATGGAAGCACTAGGATTTCTTCATTTTGCTGTGATAAATCATGCTTTTTAAACATTCAGCTCTAAAATGAAGCACTCAAATGTGAAACACAACCAGAGGCTTCCCAGTATTGCAATTCTCCTGCTGCACTCTCCAATACAAACATTTTTCCACGATTTTCCAGAGCCAAGGGAAACAAAAGGAAATAGCTGCTTTAGTGAGCCCGCAGCAGCGCTGTGGCAAGGCTGTGAGCACCCCCTCATCGCCGCGGCTTTCCCTCTGCCAAGCCTGGACCAATGACCCAGCTTCTGCTTTTGTTGGCAGGAATGGTTACTCAAAATAAATAATCTCAGATCAGAAGCAGCTTTAGAACTAGATTCAGGCACGATTCCGAGCTATTATTTCATTTCATGGAGTTAATTCCAATTTCTGTGTGGACAAACACCATTTATCTTCGAGGCAGATAGAACACAAAGGATGCTCTGGGGCAGGATTTAAACCTCCTGTGCCACAGCGGGATGTGGCACAACCCAGTGTGCTGGGGGTTGGAACTGGATGATCTTAAGGTCCTTTCCAACCCAAACCATTCTGTGATTCTCATCACCCTGGTATTCAGGGGAGCAAACAGAGGTTCTTACCCTCACAGCAGAACACCCCACCATCAGGGGAAGGGAAACACACCAAAATGGGTGTTTTCACAGCAGCAGCGATTCTGCAGTGGCAGAAAAGCTGTTAAGTGTTTGCCTTCCCCCTCTTGCTCGACGAAGCGATGGGCGAGTGCTTCACAGCCATACCTGCTCATGTTGTTTCCACATTATCACTTGAAACCACTGGAGAATTTGAAGTCCCACCAGAGCAGAAGATATTTTACAAGGGAATAATTGCATTTGCTAACAGAGTTCTGTTTGTACTTTAAAAACCTCTAATAAAAATAGACTATATAGTGGGGTTTTATAAATAGATTACACATTTAGCTTAGATGAGTTTCATTACATCCCTCCCCCCCTTTAAAGAGTTTTGTCTTTAACTCATGTGAACTAACATGATAATTACTAAGTCTTTGCAAAAACACATTTGTACCACATTATTCTTTGGACATTTTTGAACATGCATCCACAAAAGCAACTGCCATTCGTTTACTGAAAACAGTTGTGTTGTACAAACCCATTTTAGGAATCAGATCGAGTCTTACACTGCTAACAAGCAAAAAAATTTGCTTCCTTGAAATCCCCGTTTAAAAAATGAGAAACAATGAGGAGGATTTTCGGATAAGTCTAAAAACGTGTCAATATGACACTGCCGTAAGAATAGAAAACAAAAAGAAAGTATTTACAGCTTTACAAAGGAAAAAAGAAAAGAGGTCATCAGAATCATTTCCAGCATTTTCACCTCTGTTTTTTCTGGCAAACTTTTGATCTGGTTTCTACGGAGTGGTTATATGCAAACAGAACAGGACCACTGTCAGCTAAGTCAGCAGCATCGCTTGAAACTAAACCAAAGACCTCCGAGGGAAACTCTCAAGGACCAACCGTGGTGATCCACTGAGTCCTACACAGCCTAAATAAAAATCAAACCCCGATCCCGAGTATGAAAACACCTTTTCTTCTTTAAAAATGGATTAAATATGCTTATAAGAAACAGACACCAACAACCATGGTAATTAACTGTCATACACATCACCACCATACACATTAATTCTAAACCCTCTACTCTAGCCCCGCATCCCTTACACTTCCCAACAGACACAACCCTACTACAGATGCTCCTTGTAATTATGGCTATGAGATAAACCCGAGGTTACAGCTACCTTGTTACAGCTGAAGTTCTGCTTCCTCACCTGGCTCTCGCTGGCAAACTGAGGATATTCTGTTCTTTCCTACCCTCACCACCCCAGCTCCCAGTTTCAAGAACTCTCAGCCTTTATCCTACCAGGACACTGAGTTTAAAAGGAAACAAATCCCACAACACAGCAGCAGCTAAGCCGGACGGCCGTTGAAATTGCTCCCTTTTCTCCAGTACCAAAGAGCATTTCCCAGCTGAGGAGAGCCAAACGACAGCCTCCACCAAGGCTGGGTCACTGTGCAAGTCGATTGCTTACCAACGCCTCCACCAAAGTCACTAAAGCATCACAGACATTCAGCTTTGGCAGATGGTTTCTCAGCCTAGTGAGAAACTATGTATTAGCAGCTGAAGTTCATACAGGCTTGAAAACCTTAAGAGTACTTGATTGAAAACATGCAGTCCCAGCCCCCTCACAAAAATACCCCCTCTCTTGTCCCCCACCCACCCCCCAGCTTGCAGCCCTAATGAACGTGACATTTACCACTTTGGCCATATAACAAATAATAGGAATGAGCACTTTGGAATAAAGTTTCTTTTCCAGAGAAAAGTTATCTACATTACATGATGAAAGAGGCTTTGAAAAAGCCCCTAACCCACACCACAGGAACCAAGAAGTTGCTAGCTACTCTATAAATAACTGCACTGAGTAAGGAAACCACCAGAATATCCTTGGATCTGTTTTCTTGGACAGAAACCATCAACTGTGGACCATGACCTCCACACTGTGGATCTAGATGGATCATCCCAGCACTCCTCCCCACTCTGAAAAACACAAGAAGCCTGTTTGATACGTGTAGCCTAAAGCACCATCATGTCTAAGCAGGAGATGGAGCTGAACAGTGACGAAACTCCAGGCAGCAACATGGGAAACTCAGATTAATTCGACATTACTGTACCCACAGTTACAGGGGGAACAGAAACCCTCCGAGGTCCTGCCCCTCTGCATAGCTGCACAAGACAGAGGCATTTCTGCCCAGGAAGGTGCCACATGCTGAGACATTTGCATTCTTTTTGGAAGAAAGCAGCACTGATTTACACTGGGTGCATGCTTACAATGCAGTTCTGCTGATTTCAGACCAATAGCCTGGAAACAATACTCAGGGAGCTAAACAGATTGGCCAGCTTACCTTTACATAACACTGAGAGGGTGCTTAAATCAGGTAGTTCCCTGCTCCTACATAGCAGCTTCTAAGCTTCCTGGCAGGAAAACAAATACATTTGGTATTTACTCCAAGTCTTGCAACTGCTAGTTAACTACACAGTTACCTTTAGGCAGTATTAACTACACTTTCAATCTTGGTCTAAAAAACAGACAGACAATTATTGGCTGAGGTTTATACCCTGTTTTTACCTGGCTGAGGTGCTACAATTCCCATTATAACCATACCTGATGATGACAGAGTTGCCCCAAACACCACCAAGACTTTTGATGCTGCTTTCTCCTGTGTAAAAATACAGAAAGATTGACAAAGTCTAGGTCTCCTCACTTTCTCACAGAGAAAGCACATGGCTGTCCCTCCCCAATTCTAGGGCAGCAGTAGTTTGGGATTCATTTTACTACGCCCTAAAAAGGATTACAGTATTTCCTGATGTTCAGCTTTCCTGAAGAACAGTGGTCTGGAACTCTCCCAGTGTCACGTCTCAAGCCTACGTCTATCCCACCACATGTCAGTTTATCCTGATGCTTCAACTATCCCACTCTAAACATCATGAAAGCAGCATAAAATGGAGTTATCTCCCTGTCAGCAAAGTCAAATCAGCAAACACCACGGTTTAAAAAAAGAACCCTGGAAAAAGAGAAAAACACAGAACACCACAAGAACTGAAGGGCTGATTCCCCTCCTAATCCAATCACTGGAAACAAAGGCATTGTAATATGACATTCCTCCTCAAAAGAAGCTCTACAGATAACTAACATGTGCAAATGTGGTTTTAGCTTTCCTTTCCCAAGAGATAACTGTTTCCCAGCAGGGACCAAACATTCCATATAAATAAGGCGAGCATTTTTTTTGTGTGGGTTTTTTTGCATAGAAGTTTATCAGTGATATTCCCACCCATGGAACCCTCCTCTGTCCCCTGCTTTGCCACCGAGCTGAGACCTGCTGCTTCTTCAGACTCTGGAGTCGAGCAGAGAGCTTGTAACACATCTCAAAGGCTCCTTCAGCCAGAAAGATGGAATTGAGAAACTCCTTTTAATATTGTAGAACTGCTCAATCCTAAAAGCTGTCACTACCCCTGCTCTTATTTTAAAGGTTTCAAGTTCAATTTGGACTGTCACAGTTCAAATTGTTACAGTTCAATTCTGGTTTTTTTGAGCCAGACTTTGGTAATGGCACCATAATTGTCTTGGGTTCACTTCTCGTTTTGCCAGCATTCTTTTTGCCAATGGGTGCAGCAGTTCAATAAAACCATGAGCTTCTTGAAATACCCAGAGCCTTTGCAGCACCATTCTCTGCTGCCAACAGATTAGGATTTGTTGAAAGAATATTTTGTATAAAAACACCTGCTATTAATATTCCACTGGAGCTCAAAGTGGCTCAGCTTGGGGCAAAGGCACAATTAAAACACCATGTTTTCTTACAGGACTCTGCATTTTATGATTTGTAGAACAATAGAAATTTACAGCACCAATCCTTGGGTGGGGTGGGGATGCGTGTAGGAATGAGTCCTTAGAAACCCTGTGTGAGGGCTTTCGAGTCTTAGTTTTATCTTCCCTCACATCAGTGTATTCTTTTATAATCTTTTCTTGCATCTTCCCTTTCACTGGAATGCTCCGACTGTGTATCAGGTGACCATGGGCTCCACATCCGTCTCTCTGTCCAACTCATCCTGAATTTCATCTGTGTTTCCTGAGTCGCTGCTGGCTACAGAGCTGGGAGATGGAGAATTTCTGTGGGGAAAGTCAGAGAAAGGTTCAGACAAGGAATTAAATATCAATGACAGAAAGGGGGGAAAAAGGAACCTTTGAATAAAATGGTGGCTTTCACTCCCCAAAATGTTTTGCAATGTACTTTATTAACATTAAACTTTGGGTTTATGGTAAATACCAGTAGTGAAACAGCCTGTATGCTGCCACCCCGCTCCTGCTTTTGTACAAGCACAAGGCCTGCCCTAGGTTTACTGGTGAGGAAATGGACAATAAACTTCCTACAGAGATCATATAACAAGTATAGACTTGAAAACTCTAAAAATGTTTATCATCTTGTTCTTTTAAGCCAGGATGTGTACTGGGGGCAAGCAAGAGCTAAGAAAAACCCCTTATAGTATAGGGTCTTTAACACATGAGAAGGTTAAACCCCACGTTCTTCATATAAGCCCACAGTCAAGGTTTAATCTGGGGTTTTGTTTAAGAGTTCTAGGCCCATGATGTTCAGACTAGACATCTATCCGAGTTAGAGATCCCTGGTTTTACCCACAGGTGTTGAATCCTTTGAGCTGTTACTGTGTGTAGGAACACACAGTTACAGAGTTCCTTTTTGACTGGTCTTTGATCCCCAACAAAGCACCTTATCTAAAGGACAAAACGATACTATTGCCTTTAAAACAAGTTGGGAGGAAACAAACTAAGCCTCTTGAAACAGCCCAGGCAGAAGGGTAACAATACCTGTCAGCTGAGCCTTTGATAAGCCTACGACAGGTTTCCATTTGGACATCCAGGCCCCTTTTCATACTACACATTTCCATGTACTCATGAAGGTGGCGATTCATGTCACTCTTGGCTGTGGCCAGTTCCAGCTGTAAGAGAGAATCATCAGCCTCAGGTGAGTTGGTAACAGCTTCTCCCAGCTTCACTGCATTCTGTGTGGAGATACTAAAGCTGCCCAGAGCCAAGCCAAAACATCCACACCATTTATGTTTAACCTCAGCGTTGTAAACCACCAACTCATTCATCAGCTTATGAAGTGCATTTTAATCGAGCTCAACACTGGTTTTAAGCAGCCCTCAAGTTGGGTTTTTTCTGCTGCTTGGCATCTTGTTTGTCAACATGCAGTAATTAATGAAAGCATGTTCTAGGCAGGGCAAAGATCAGGAGAAGCTACAGCTGTTGTGTCTGGCAACCTCCGAGGCCATGTCTTGGAAAGCATTTCCCAGTGTGACAGTGGATATGCAAGATAAATAGGGGATAAAGAATAATAGTGCATTTTTGTTCTCTTTGTTCAGAAGGTTCTCTCTCAACCAGCTACAGATTGATGCTTACTCAGTAATTGTGCTGTGCAGAGAATGGTATTTAGGAAAGAACCCCAAGGGTATGTGTATGTGTAGAGGAAAACGCCTTAGATGCACAGACATTCCACCTTTCCTCTGTGCATATACTGGACCAGAACACTGTATGTCTTCATCCACTAGAAAGAATTCACATGGTCATGATCCACTTCCTTACCTCTATCTGCCCTATTGTTTCCTGGTATTCCTTGTCTCTCGTTTTAAAGAAAGACTCTGTTTCGTGGATCAAGTTTCCCAGGTTTTCTTCCTGCAGGGGAAAGGAGGACACACAGAATTAGCAAGAATCTAACAAGGAATTCAGAAGGTTTTCTTGTTTAACCTGCTCAGAAATGCAGGTTGGGATGTTCTTTCATACAAAGATTCTTTTAAATACATTTTTTACACAGGCAGGGAATATTCTGCTTCTTAAAACACATTTTTGTACAATGACCATGGCTTTGTACACACAGATATAAAGTCTCTGATCAAGGGACCTACAGACCAAGGCTCCAGCAACTAAAAGCATACACCTGATGCTACTGAAGAACCAAACCCATGGATTTTCCTGAAGCTTTCACAGTCTGATCACACTTAGATTGTAACTGCTCTCCAGCCATGAGGCTTTGTTTTCCTTGCATTGACCAGACTGCTACTTACAGCTTTGCTCTGGAATGCTCATTTTCCAATTGCATATTATTACTCTGTCCTGGGTTCAGCTACAGCAGTCATTTTTTTCTCCTTCTTAGCAGCTGGTGCAGTGCTGTGGTTTTGACTTTCAGCCTGGGAACAACGCTGATAACACCGATGCTTTTACTTGATGCTCAGTAATGTTTACTCTGACCAAGGACTTTCTCAGTCTCATGCTCTGCCAGGGAGGAGGGGAAGCCGGGAGGAAGCAGAGGCAGGACACCTGACCCAAACTGGCCAAAGGGCTATTCCATACCACAGCACGTCATGCCCAGGATAGAAACTGGGGGGAGTTACCCGGAAGGTCCAGATCGCTGCTCGGGTCGGGCTGGGTATCGGTCGGCAGGTGGTGAGCGGTTGTGTCCTTTTCCCTTGTTATTCCTCTTATCATTATTACTGGTAGCAGCAGTGGTTTGTATTATACCTTAGTTACTGGAGTGCTGTTATCTCAACCCGTGGGAGCTACATTCCTCCAATTCTCCTCCCCATCCCTCCGGGAGCGGGGGGAGGAAGGAAGAGGGGGGGAGTGAGCGAGCGGCTGCGTGGTTCCAAGTTGCCGGCTGGGCTTGAACCACGACATACTCTGAAGTCCTTTCAGTCTCCATTAGCTCACACTTATGCTCTGCAAGAATTGTTTCCTGTTGAAATCTGGAACTGCTGGATAAAGCAAGCTCACTCCAGCGTGCTACTGATGAAATGCCACATGCAAGAACACATGCTGTCCCATAGGAAGCATTCTGCCAGACAGCAGCTCCCATAACATCATCACTTTGGACTGTCAGTACAGTCTGGGCTTCAAAACACACGGCATTATCTGAGGCTGTCACAGAGACTAAAACAACGTCACTGCTCTCTCTTGCATGTTATTACCTACCTCCTTTTTCCAGAAAGAAAATGAGCATCCACTTAATGCAACTGCACTGATGAGCATTAATTATGTTTCCATCCTCTGCTCATATCTGAGGCAGCTTTATCAGGATCATGCCTGGTATCAGCACCAGGCTATCCAGCCTATAGCTGCAAGAATCATTCCACTTATCCTTTTATATGCAGAAGTGCTTTAAGGAGCAAGGTCATAAAAGAAGGTGGCTATGGCACCGTGTAAGAACTTGAAAGGAATAAAGCCACTGGAAGAAGATTCAGACATGTAAAGCACGATGTTAAAGACCAGGCACAGTTGGAGCAGTCTTTATTCTGAACCTCCATCTACAAGACAAATCTACCCTTTCCTTGTATAATTTTCATTTAGAAGGATTTAAGCTGCTTAAGACCTTTATGGAGTTTTTGCACGTAAGGTCTGAGTTCGGCAATATTCCTCTGATAGCTCTGCTTATACATGCACACACGGGTATATGCAAATCAATGTGTCACTAATTCCAGCACATGGCTGCACATTATCACTCTGCCACTCTCCCTGCTCAGAAGACGACATGTAGCTAAAGCACACTGCTTTCTGCAGCCCTAGCACTTCCCAGTAATCTCTGCAGTTTCAGAGGATGCCAGATGATCTACAAACGGGAAGACGTAACATTAACACGCTCCTGGCAGTCAACACAAGACAATATTCAGGAGACTGCTGCCTCAGCATCTTTACACTACAGCACTGATGGAAGGAGGCAGGATTATTTCTTACCTACTGCTGTTGTGCTGCTCTGTAATGAAATAATAGCATTGCATTTAAAGACTACCCGCACAAAGCCTGACCTTGGCATTTCAATCACTCTTTAGGCTCGTTTAAAAAGGCTCAGGAGTCACCGAATGAGGCAGCATGCAGCCATTAGCTTATTTAGTGTGGGATCTTAAGGATTAAAAGCAAGCTGTTTATTATCCACCAATGCCAGGAGAATCCTATTGACTAAGAAGATGGAAGCACAAGATTCACGGCTTCAGAAGATCCCTGGGGCCTTACGCAGTCCTGCAGCCCCAGCTTCTTTGTTTGTGATGGGATATACATGCTCTAACACCTTCCACAGGCCATCCTGAGTTTATTTTGCTCCCCACTAAACTGTGCCATCATATGTGCTGCGGGTACTATTTTGACAATTAAAATGTGAGCAATAATCTACAGAGATGCTGTGTAGAAGATACATGGCTCAAGATAAACGCCTGCTTAGGGTGGCGGGTGTGATGTGATGCTCCTGCAACAGCCAGCCACGCTGGATCTTTTGACACTCACGTGGTACTTTTAAATACTCAGCTTGAAGGAGCAGAAGAAATGAAGTTTCAAATAAACTGATTGCACAGACTGAAAAGCAACCACAGAGAGAAAGCACTAAGAGGATTTTTAAATCAAAGCAAGCTTGTGTGGCAAACTAGATCATCAGTCAAATATCCAAAGGCTCCGATGGCTGAAAGAGCAGCTGAGGGGTACAGGTTCTGCAGAAAACAGTTTGAGAGAAGGAGGGAAATAAACTCACCTCTCCTTGGAGGTCAATGGAAGGATTGCAGTTTGTGAAGTCTTCCCAGAGCAGCAACGTTTCCTCATTCTCCTCCCATGTTAAACTATCACAGTCATCATCAAAATCGAATGTCTCCCGACTGTTAAGGGAACAGAAAAAGCATTAGTGAAAACGACTCCAGCCCCACTCCTCTAATTAATCATTCCCTAATTAATCATGAAAAGAGGGGCTATGAGGACTGAGCGCAGGAAACAATGCAGCAGCTGAAAATCCTCACGGGTTTTACAAACAGGCTTTGCCACTGTCCAAGTCCCTCACTCCTGGGCTCTTTGCCACCCCACCCCCAAGCCGAATAAAAGCTCCTTGTTACTCTCCTTTGCTGGCAGCCCTCAGCCCTAGCTCTGTCCTCCAGGTGGTGCTGCACATTAGTGTCCCCTGTTTGCAAAACCACAAAAACGTTTGAAACGACTCTTTTTATACATGGGAAAATGAGTCCAAACAGTGTGAGGAGTTTTACAAGAAACAGCCACCAGAAGACTCCCTGCTGCTTTGCATGTTGAAGTTCAGCCAACATTTCCCCTGCAGCACTTAAAACACATCATTTCCAAAAGTAACAATGAGGAAAAACTCAAAGCGACGTGCAGGTGAGCAGAAATACTCACTGTTGACTTGGACAACAGAGATACTACTACAGCCACTTAAGACTGAGAACAAACAGCGGCAAGAGTGGCCTTTAACCTTGTTATGTGGTTAAGCCCCTTTAGTATGTGCTGTTGTGTAATAAAGGAAAGTTTTAGAAGGCACCGAGTCCCTGTTGGTTTGAACAGCAGCAGAGCAGAACACCAGTAGCTGCTTCTTGTCCTTGCTAAGGAGGCCTGACAAAAACCTGAATTTGCTCCCAGAAGCAGCCTGCTCATTTCAGACTGATGCATTTTTATTGCTTGAGCTCACTTCCTTTTAAGCAGATAACATCTCAGGCCGGAAGCAGAGGCCAATACTGTCTTCAGGAGGCTGAAGAGCTTGGCAAGAGACAAGCTATTTGCCTGGACTCAGCATGACTTTAAAAAGTCATTAAACCAAAACCCCTATAAACTTGGACATACAGAATCGTGCCTTTTGCAATGCAACTTTTTCACATCAGTTCTTTTCTGCAAGAGCTATCCTTGTTGGAGAGCACAAAGGCTCCAGTTCTGGCTGCTGCTTACTTCAGACACACACTGTTCAAAGCTGACTGCATTGACTTTACACTACTAGACACGTAAGGAGTAGGTTTGTGACAGATAAAATGCAAGTTGTTTTGTTTCTGTGAATGACAGAAGCTCTTCAGCTGTGTATTTTCTACTTCACAAAGAGCCCAAATCCAGACAGCCTTAGAAATGTACCATCCCCAATAAGCCACGAACACTATTCTAGATCAAGCCAATTTGAACCTATCAACAAGCGTCCTGCAGTGATTCGTGCCACGTGTAATAGGATGAGGAGATAAGAACTTCATTAACAGCACCAATAAAAAGCAGGTATCACAGCACAGGTTTAGGAACAAGACAAAACTAAAAGCTAAATGCAGTACCAACCTTGTAGCTAAATCTTAGCCTCTTGCTTTTCTAACACCTACACTCTCTGCTGTCACACTGAGTTTTAGCAATAGAGAAGTCAAAACTCTATTTATTACACTGAATTTTCTTAAGGCCTAAAGATATCTAAACCAAGAATCCTAACAAGAGGAGTTACCTATGACTTTGGCAGGAAACATGCCCTCCTGGATGTGAAATTCAGGTAGAAAGACAGACATTCCATGAAAACAGAACTTTAGGGAACAGCTGACGACAGAAGAGGAGTTAGTGCTTCCTGGAAAATTTCTTGTGTACTCCTACATGTGAAATACCGTCCTACATTGTGTGGGAAAGCACTGGGAATTCTTCCTTCTGCAGTCACTGCAGGAGTTGGCAGAAATCACTGCTATTCAGTGCTGGGGAAGTCAGACCTACAGTGCTTGCTGGGGCTATTCTCTGCCAAAAGAAAACAGCAGAGACCCTCAAAAGCCTCACCAGGCTGTGGCCACCTCCATCACTTCCAGAACAGGAGAAGAGAACAGCAGGACACAGCACCAGCCAGCTTCCTGCACTGCTTTGTGTGCCACCAAGGTGCAGAGAGTCTCTTCTCGAGTGCAACAAACTTCGAAAGGCTCCAATTTGGGAGTCTTTAGGCAAAATAAATGCCAGTCCTTCCAGCTGGGGAGACCAGATTCTGCAGCAAGGCTTAAAACTGCTAAAACTGATCTTCTGGACAGACCCACCACTACCATTTGCCTATAGCTCCACTGAAGGACCATGCAAAACACTACAGAAGTTTATATCCACTTTGATCTGAGCTTTCAGTGATCTTGCCTAAATCCCATCCAGCCCAAGCAGCAGTGAGGTTCTTTCCAAAACTCTAGAATCTAGTTTTCAGCCAAATACGCGGAATAGACTCAAGTTTTGTACTTTTTTATGGTGTTGCATATTTCTTGTTTTGCTACTGTTGTAACAGTACTGCATTGGAATACTGTGTACAGTTCTGGTGTCCCAAGCATAAGAAGGACATGGAGCTGTTGGAGCAAGCCCAGAGGAGGCCACAGGGATGATCAGGGGCTGGAGCACTTCCCATTTGAAAACAAGCTGAGAACATTGGGGCTGTTCAGCCTGGAGACCTCATAGTAGCCTTCCAGTATCTGAAGGGGGCCTGTAGTAACATGACAATCAGTGACAGGTTCAAACTGAAACAGGGGAGATTTAGGTTGGATATAAGGAAGCTCTTCCCTGTGAGGGTGCTGAGGCGCTGGCACAGGGTGCCCAGAGGAGCTGTGGCTGCCCCATCCCTGGCAGTGTTCAAGGCCAGGTTGGACACAGGGGCTTGGAGCAACCTGCTCTAGTGGAAGGTGTCCCTGCCCGTGGCAGGGGGTTGGGGCTGGATGACCTTTAAGGTCCCTTCCAACCCAACCCATTCTATGATAACAGCTTATAGCAGAAGCAGATGTCTGTAATTTTTTATATTCTCTATGGTTCCCCTTACTTAAGGGAGGAACAAAAATCAGTTCATTTTATTTGAATTTCCAGACAACCTTCAAGCATGTGGCAGCTCAAGTGTTCTGGGACTAAGTCTGCATTTCAGAACAAGCTTTCCCCACGTTGTCCATGATACTCACAGCTGATTAAACATACGCTTCATTTCATCTGTGATGTTCAAGGAGCAGCTGACCTCATCGTCAGAGAACCTGCTGTTGTCTCCATCCTGTTCAGAGAGGTCATCATCAGACGTGAGCTTGCGCTCTTTCTTCTTGGAAGCCACCTTAATTGGAGAGAAGAGCAGTAACTAGAAGGTTCAACTGAGGTGCTGCACCATGAGGGGCAGAAAGAAAGGAGAGGCATTAGGTTTGAGCAGATACAACTGTTCATCAGGTCCCAGGCAATTCAGGCCCTGCCCGTATTTAAGACAGGAATTGCATCTGTTAATGGGTGGTGAACACAGAGCACAAGGAAGCAGTTCAGAACAGGGAAGAGCAAAGCAAGCTGCAGGCTGCCAGTGCTCTACAGATGTCCATCTGTTCACTGGCACCGGTCTGTGATCGACCAGAGCACGTGCAGAGGTTAGAATGATACAGGGAAAAGCACAAGCTGGCAGGAGTGCCCAGGCAGCAGGCTTGAGAGCAATGACAGAACTCTCCCTCTCTCCTGCCACCACCACAGGACTGAACTACTGCAAAAGAGCAGACAGGAAGCCTTGCTAGAGAGCCTTGATTCAGGGTCACTCCCACCCCAGCAGCAGAGGCAGGCTGCTCATCTGCAGGCTGACAGAAGAAGGGTTAAACTGAACCATGAAAATGCCTGGACAGCCTCAAAGAAATGAAGTTCAGAAACATACAGAGAACTCAAGGGATGCCCCTGCAAGGGGTGCAGAGGATCACTTCTTCATCTGAGGGCTGTGAACAGGAAAGAGATTCACAGATGGTGCCACAGAGTCACAAACACACAGTCCACTCCCAGCCTACTCTAGGTTTTCCTCTACTCAGCATATAAACCATCCCTTACTGGTATTGTTCTCCACGATGATCATTTTAACCACTGCATGCTTGACCAGAAGCATGCTCTGCAGTTACCTTTGAGCAGAAAGATATGGCAATTCTACTCAAAGACAGGAGGGAACCACTAGCACAATGCAATGGCTCAACATGCTAGAAAATAATTGCCTCCCATAAGGAAATCTGAGTCTTTTGGGATACAACGGGAAAAAAAAAAAGAATCTATCAAACATTTAAAGCAACTTCCCTATAGCCAGGAAGCACAACCAGTAGAGACCACAAGGATCTCTTACAGTGGTTCTGTACAGCATTTAGCACACTATATGGCATCACCATACAGAGAAAAGCGTCCAACTTATTCAAAGACTGAACAAGACACACTTAGATCAAAGTAGAAGGAAGCTGGATTAATCCCAATTGAAACTGCAGTTGGGACAGAAGACCAGCTGCATCAGGAGTTACAGGTTTGCTCCACGCAGAGCTGTAACCACTTGCTTTTGGAGCAAATCAAATCACTTTCCTATGAGCACCAAGGAGCCACATTAGGTCAATGAAAGCAAGGGGAGTTTCTAGTTCAAAGCAGTCATAGCTCACCATCACAGAAGTGTTATTTCTGGCCTCGGAGCTTGAGCCAGAAATAAGAACATTCAGATGACACTTGCAAAAGCTTAAAACCCCTCACTTGTGAAGGGAACAAATGTGAGGAAGCCATTTATACAAACCTACACCCTGGAATGCTTTTTTCCCTGCATTCATTGTAGACTAGCATCAGACTAAGAGTGTGTCTTAAAGGTCATCCTGAGGCTTCTTAGCTTAAACTCTCTAAGTGTTGTGCTCTAAGCACTACAGCAGAAGAGAGCTACGCTTCAAGACTGAGAAAGAAGAAAGTGTGTCTGCACAGAGAAATGTCAAGAGAAGGCAAATGACCTGGACCACACTCCTCAACGCTGCTCCCTCTTGTCCCCTCACTCCCTGTCCTACCCTATGGAAAATTCATGGCCTAATCACCTGGAATATCTTGGAAACGTCTTCAGAGTTGCGCTGCTGCGCTACATCGCACAGCTTGGCTGTGATATCGATTCGCCGACAGATGTCCATGTCCACCTTCATGGCCTTTTCTTGAATCTTTGTGTCCAGGTCTGTCATGGGCTGCAGGAAGGACAGTAGTGATTATCCTCTATTATTATACAGTTCAGGAAAGAAGAGATACCCCTCAGTATCTCTCTAACCCCAGGGCACACCACTCTTAAACAATATTACATCTTGTTCTCTGGGAAAGGCAGTACATGGACAATCTAAATGGACTGGACAGCTAACAAATAACATTCATATCTGAGTCTAATCCAGTTCCAGAGTGTTCTGCCACTGGAAAACCTATCCCCACCCCAAAACAACTGCTAGATGTGGCAACAGGCAAATTGTATGGGACGATAAAGCTTTAAAAATGGAGCAGAAAAACCCTGCTGAGACCAGGCATGACCGAATAAAATCTAAGACCTGGGACTATGCAACAGTTCCCCTCCTTTCCGACAGGAAAACTGTGCCTGCAAGGGGCAGCTGCTTTTAAAACAGACCCCAGGTTACACATGAAAACATGAAATTAAGACTGGATCTACAGAGATCCATGAGAACTTGTGACACACAAAACACTCCTCATGGCACTAACCTGGCTTCCAGCCTAGCAAAAATCCTATTTGAGAAATATCTTGTCTTGCTTCCCTCTGGGCAGTAATTATAAACATCATTTATAGGAGATACTCCCACTCAGACAGTACATCTGGCTCCTTATGAAGAAACATTAAAGTAAAAAGCACATTTTCCAGCCTAGACAAGACTTACTCTGCTAGAAAGTACCACTTCAATGGCCAGGCAATGCTTCCTCCGTGACCAGAAAAGCAGAAACACCCTTTGCAGAGCATTCTTAAATACCAAATCCCTTTTCCAAGAACAAAACGTTGGGTTTAGGGTTTTTGTTTGGTTGGTTTAGTTTGGTTTTGGTTTTAAACTATTAGAAGAGTTCTCCTCCAGCCCCTGTCAGCCACCTTTGGACAAGCTAAAGATCTCTGTTTTACAACCACACTGAGAAGAAATTCCTGAACACTGAAACACTCTTAAACACTCTTAGTTGATAGGTACCAGCAATTCTTACCCACAGGAAGGCAAGAGCCACATGCCAACATCCTGCATTTCTCTGCTCTAAATATTTAGACAGCGAGATTCAAAACAAGCCTTCTCACTGCTTTCCTTATGCTCTCTTCTCCCTTACAGGGGTTGCAAAGCCCAAAGCACACTTGCTCTCAAGTTGAGGAGGATGTTTGCCTTCACCACCACCCTTTGGGTACACATGGAGCAATGCTTCTTCCTCAGTGAAAACGTCATGACAGTGATGCAGGCCTAAGGAGTTCTCCCTTTCACACTGCCTCCAACCATGCGTGCCTGTCCTCGATTAAACACTGAAAGAAGAGACAGCTAATTGCCAAATTTCACAGGAACAGTGGCCCTGAGAGAATGGATTTGACACCAGGGAGCAGGTTCTGCAAGTTTCTATACACCCAGAAGGAAGCAGTTCTATGCAAAATTACTGAATAAATAAGCATAATAGGACATATTCATTAGACAACTGGTATCTGCACTACTTCAGTCTTACAGAGAACAGCACCTCACTTGATGTTCACTTGGCTTATCTTTCTAGACACCTGCATGAGTATATGCTCTCAGTATGTCTAAGTGTTCAAGGCCAGGTTGGACAGGTCTTGAAGCAACCTGCTCTAGTGGAAGGTGTCCCTGCTTTAAGGTCCTTTCCAACCAAAACCAGTCAAATTATCCAGTCACAGCCTAAAAGATCCCCAGCCTTGAAGTGAAGTCAGGATCTAATGAGACACAAGTCTTTTACCAAAACAATCAGGTCGAAGCAGCACTGGAAACAAAGCCAGGTACTTGAACCAGTGATACTGGGTTAATCAGTTCAGAGCTTTCCTAAAGGGAATTGGGAAATACATAGAAATCCCTTTCTGACCATGACTCTCTCGTGTGACTCAGAGCAGAATCCCTCCTGGTAGCAGTACGTGGTGCTGCTCAGTGATGAGTCCTTCACCCTGACCTGTCAGTTCTCCAACATCTGTGCCATGGCTGCAGATGTGAACACTGGCACTGCCAGCTGTGGAGAACAGGGAAGGGAGGAAGAGTCCAGGTTATGGGCTAAGCAGCAAAGTTAATGCATCTCTACACAGACCAGACAGGAAGCAGGGGGCAGGGTGATCTGTCTGATGCATTAGATCATAAAGGCAGCCATAAATGCTAACTACAAAGCAGCACTCACTAAGACCATAACCTTTTCATGAATGAAGCCATTTGCATGACACACACATTTGACAAAGGCAGTGGGAGTTGGCCACTCTGCTCTCCAGTGTACTTACATCACTCATCAGACCCTTAAAGACCACAAGTTCTGCTTTCAGTCTCTCAATCTTTTCATTTAACTCCTCATGGAGAGCTTCGGCTTCCTGGGCCTCCTGCAAGAGAAAGCACACAAAGAACTAAGGGCTAACAGGTCAATATATGCTTCCTCACTTAACCTGAAGAGGGCTGATAAGGCTTGTCACCACCCCCAGACCTCACTTTGTCAGGGACTTCAGCCTCCCTGCTTCAGCTTGCAAACATCAACACTGTTCTCTAGCATTGAGCAATGCAGTCAGCTGCTCTAGCTAGAAGAGAGACTTGAAATTAAAAGACAAATTCAAGTTATTACCAGCAGAATAAAAGGCACAGAGAAAACCTGTACTTTTCAGTACATACTATTTAAAGCTTACCTCTCGTAAGGTTTCTACCATAGATTCCAGACTCATTCTCCTTGTGAATTCCTCTTCCCATCTGAAAGACAAGATTTGGAGGCCAAGTGTTAACTGATTTCCCCCCCTCAAAATCACAAGTCTTCTGATAGCTGTAGGATGATGACAGTTACTTGAAATGTAAAGCAGATGGTCCCCCACACTTGTACACCCTTAGCACAGGAACGTTAAGCCTGTAGGAGACTAAAAGCTAAATCCACTTCCGCTGGGATCTCTACTCTTCCTGCTCTCCTATGCAATACTTGGTTGCAAATAAAGTGGGCCATTTTCACTGCAAGAAGAACCAGTTGAAGGCAAGTTACGTGAATCAGCAGCTGTACTATTCATCTGTTCACTCCAATCAATTCATACCTTAATGTGCTTTTGATATCAAAATCCTCAATAATCTACATGCCTCAATCATATCCCAGCACTATCACTTCAAGGAGTACTCAGAGAAGCATCCTTGAACGCAGGGAACACACACTCACTCTGCTGCAGTACTGAATGGGCAGAAGAAAAGGAATTACAAACTATGTAATTAAACCTCATACTATGAGCATCATGGCATTTGAGTTCCTTATTGGATTAAGTGCATAAATATCCCAGTTCCCCTTTTTCAGCATCAAAACCCTTTAAGGAGCAAAAAGCACTATCTGCCCATACTAACTCGAAAGCTGAACTCTTGAAAACATGATGATACCCCATTCACACACATTGCTATGGTTTGAGTTTGGGGAGGAGAGAGGAAGTTAAACGTGTCCCTCTTTTTGAATGGGCAGTGGTGTCGCATGAGCCTTGTCCAGTCTATTATAACAACAGGAATTACACCCCTGGAAGAGAAACTTTGGATACCACGTGAGGAAAAACAATCTTGTGAATACCATCTCTGAGTAGCAGCATGGTAATTTCTGTTGCCACTTCAACACTTTATAGCCTAACTGAAAAGGGAAAACCATGGCCCAGAAATCCATGAAATCAAAGGATTCTTAAAAATGCAAGGTTAAATTTGCCCAAATGCATCGTTTCCTCCTTTTTTCAAACCCACAAGGGAACCTGGTGATGGGGAGGTTGCAGATATTCCCACCGAGGCAGCCGGTTTGATGCATGTGTAATCACTTTGCCACTCGATACATCTCCACATTCCAAGCTCAAATTTAATCCCATCTGAAATGGAAGCCAGGGGGGACCCTTTCAGCAGGAGCAGGCTCCGTGCTATGGCAGTTTGCTGTCTTCAGGAGCAATCACAAGCACCTGAAGGGGTTACATCTTAATGCAGCAGCAGCTCAGAGGAGCACAGTGCCAAGATGACATGCTGCCTGCATCTGCTTCTTCCTGCTATTGTGGGGCAGGAATCTCCAACATCATGGCCTGTGGATTCTCTGTCACACAGTCCGATTTATGCAGGAAGCCTTGTTGTGCATCTTTTTAGCAGCAACAATTTATTGCCAAGCAAAGGAAAATATTTAGGTTGAAATTTGCATTTGTCATCAAATGTTTTAGTTCATATTTGCAATTCCTTTTTGTTTTTTTCACTACTAATACACATATTTCTATAAAAATAGTAACTGGATATTAAAATGTGTTACCCAGATTTTAATACTAAAGTCAGCAAGGTGAAACTAAAGCAAATGGGTTTGCAATCTGGAAGATGGGCTCCTTCTGTTACAGGAGGAGTGTCGCATGGCTTTAATCATTCCTCCTGGTCTCTCTGCCATCAGGCTGTCATTTAGGGCTGGAAGTCAGGCAGACACTGCAAAAATTGATAGGGTGCTTCTCCAGGTCTGCACGGTTGCAGGGAGGACTCCTGCCCGCACCCAGCTCCGCCTGCTGACGATTTGCACCCTCACAGTGCACTGTGCATCCTGCACAGGGGAAATCATAACTGGGTGGTTCTACAGCCTCTGCCAAAAGGCAGGGAAAAGGATCAGCATTCCTCCGAGCAGTGCAGCCGGCCTGGGCTGCTGCCAGAATTACACATCTCGGTCTGCTCAGACCCAGACCTTCCCCATCCAGCAGAAATTCCACGAGTTCCACTCTTTTTCCTTTGTGCCATTTTGCAGCACAGTGATTTACAGCCCTAATTCCCTTCCATCGTACTCATGATGTCTTCAAGAGGAAAAGGATTGCCTTTTTTACACACATACGTACCCTCCCTGCAATTCCTCTGTTCCTCATTATAGGAACAATAAAGCAAGCAGGTAATTTTTAACCAAAAAGTTCATGTCTAACAAAGAAATTTACACTGGACTGACATAAGGATCCTCATTCTGAACCTCAGAGCACATTTCTCCCACCCACCACCAAGCTGATTAACCTCATTTAACAGCTAAAAATGCCAATCTTACTTTCTCCTCACATGGAGACCTCAGGAGACTATTTGTAAGGACGAGAGGAAGGAAACGGACAGGAAAGTAGAGGATGACAATGAAGCAGAGGATTAATTCTCTATTTCAGCTTCCAAGGAAGTGAGATAATAGGAAGACTGCTCATTCACATGATCATCCTGTATTTGCTGTAACACACAGAGCTTTAAATGGAGCCTTGGCAGCTGTGCTACTTACTACACACTCCAGCAAATGCAGCAGCGAGGAGTCAGTGTGCCACTGAGAAGATGCTAACTGTAGCTCTGATGTCTTTAACATGCAACACACTAAATTATTCTCCTGGTCGTTTATACTAGTCGATATTTTTCTCTTCAGTTACCATCTAAAAGCAGAAGATGCTCTTCCACAAGTCTCAACCCCAGCAGGCTGCGGTGCCTCCTACTTCCTAGCAAACAGAAGCAGTGGTGCCACCCTGCACACACGTCCATGAAAGGGACCAGCCTGGCACTCCCTCCACCTCCAGGACGAGGGAAGGGAAGCATCACCCGACCATCACTTCTGCAGCACAAAGCAGAGTGAGCAGGTAGCTCCTGGGCTGGATCAGGATGGGAGCAGCAGCACAATGGGGACTGTAATCCCAAATGGGAAGCGGCTGCACACACGGTAGGCTAAAAACCCAGCACTCTTCATGTATTTGCTGCAGGGTATTACCCAGCCAACTGCTCCTGCTGCTCTCAAATACACTGATTTCTTGGCTCAGATGCATCGATTGCATCCCAAAATCTATTTTCTGACCCACGTTGGCATCTAAATCTACCAGACTTCAGTTTCTTGTTTTACTTTCAGTTATTTCTTTAAAAACACCAGCAATATAGATTTCAAATCTATCCAAGCTTTTTTCCATCTGTCCCTTCTTCCAAGGATGTTTTAGTCCCAACCACCACCTACCCCCCCCCCAAATACAGGGATTTTAGAAGCTATGGATCTATTCCCCTTTTACCAGATGTGACACACTACATTCCAGCAGCATTCAGTCATTGCAGCTTCAGGCCCCAAACTACTTCTGCAGTCGTGTCTTACATAGCTTAGAGGAGAACAAAGGCTGCTGGCTTTCTTTAACGGGAATAGCTACATTACAGGGATATTAGACAAACAAAACACGTGAATAGCCAGCTGGGATTAACACAGCTTAAAGCAGTGTTCTTGTAAAGCTGAGTCACACCGCAAACTCGAGTGTTTCCTTTGAAATTGGAAGAGTAGCTACCAGTTCACCCACACTAACATCAGCTCCTGCACCCAAACGAGCCCATGGAGACACCCCAGGAGCTGGATAATGTCACTTAAAAGCTTCTCTAAGTTTTCAAGCCTAATATTCATGAAATTAAACTGAGCTTGTTGACACAACAAGCTTCGAGCCACTTTCCCACTCCCTGAATACCTGCATCAATGCACACAAGCGTCTTCCTTTCTCCTTTCCCTGCGTCAAGACAAGTTCAGGAATACTGAGCAGTGAAGAGAAGTGCCCACTACAGCAATTCACAAAACCTCTTTGGAAAAGAAAGCTAGTTTTGGAGAAGTCTTCTTGCCAAATATTGTTCAGTAGTTTTCTTTAAACCCCAGGATTTTTAGGTGTGAGTACGGTACTACTTAGACAACAAAACATGCTTACAAAATATGCCAGGCATAAACACATTGCTTTAAGTATGTTTTTGCTCAAGGCAGAAAAGCATAAGTAGAGCAGTTGAGAGTTAATGATGCCTGATGGTATCAGCTGCATTATTTATTTCATAAAAAATATCCCCCCCTCAAGGAAGCAAATATTCCTCAAGTAGCACTGAATGACAAAAGCATTTTTCCATAAGAAAAAACTCTTTAGGAAGACAAGATCCTTCTTCCTGGGAGTTTTGTACAGTCGTGTAGAGACAAAAACCACCAAACAGAACAATAAAAGACATTTACAGCGGCCCAAGCTTCTCCCCCGCCCTTCTCTCAGGTACCGACTCTGAAGTGGGAGCATCTTCCCATGGGCTTATGGGGACAAGAGCAGCAGCAAAAGGAGAACCTAATAGCTCTTGAGTGCTTAAATCTGCAACAGGAAACTAAAGTGTTAGTTTGAACAACGGCTATAAAATGCCCACAAAATTATTGACAGCAATTCCTGAAAACAAACCCACTGAACAGACCAACCATCAGTGCTCCTTCAGGGAACAGCATAACTGTTTCTTCTTGCATGCTAAAACACCACTGTTCCACTTTTGGCAGGAGATGCACCCAGCCTTGCTCATCTTTTGGACATGAAGCATTTAAGATGCCTTCTCTGATGTACCACACCTGCAAGAAGGTGGAATAACACACTCATGCTACGGCAGGGCCAAGTAATGACACATCCAGCGCTGCCTGGGAGGGTTTGTGCTCTGCTGCCACAGGTTAGAGACACATCTTTGTGCTCCTGCTCCTTTGTGGCAGCACTGCTTGTTCTTTGTGCTTGTTGGGATCTTCTGACGCCCATACACTGTTTACAGGAACCCCAAATGGCAAAGCTGGCCAGCACTGGCATGAGATTTAACACTTAACGTGCACAAGCCTAACCGATTTAATCACTTTGCATTACTCACAGTTGTTAACACGCTGCCTCTCACTGTGGGTCTGTAGTAACATGCCCACTAATCCCCTCTCCAACACCTAGATAATAACTATCAACATTACAGT